TAAGTAGCAAAAAAAATATTATTTTTTTTGGGAAAAAAAGCAGAAAAATGCTGTTTTTTAAATTTTTTTACATATTCGGGATTCCCGGGATTTCCCGGGAAATCCCGAAAAATTTCAATCCCGATCCCGATCCCGAAAATTTGTCGGGACCGGGATTTCGAGAAAGCATACAATCAGAAAACTTCGAGAAAACATTGAAATAAAACTAAATTTAAACAATGTTGAGCATGAAACATGAGGAGAATTCAGGAGAAAATTCTTCATTGAAGGGGAATGTTATTTCAACAACAATCATAAAACATTCAGTAAAGTGTTCTGATTACATTTTCAAATGCAAAGTTTGAAAGAGAAATCTTTGAGAAAAATACTGAAGTGTTGGATTGAACCACTCATATTCTATGGATGTATCAAGTTATTATGTCAAAGTCTACTTAGAAAAGCATGAAAAACCAAAGACTTCTTCTTGATACAATATAAAAACATTTAAGGAGTTGTACAGCATGATCATTACTCACGGGCTATTTAACTATAATTTTTATCCAAACTCAAATTTAAAATCCATTTGAATCTCAATTTCGACGTTTCTTCGTCAATTTACAGGAAAACTTTGCCCATTTTCCATTCATGCTTCATTTATTCTCGCTATTATTAAGATGACAATTTAGCAAATGTTTTAAAAAGTCATAAAAAAATCACAACGGCAATTTAACAAAAATGAAATAAAAATGAAGAAAAAAGTTTTGAAATCAAATTTTTTTAATATATTTCATGGGGAAAATCCATTAACGCATCCGTTTACCCATCAATTTCCATGTTCATTAAACACATGCTTTCATTGCTTACACACCATTTGTACACGTGCGTGCGTATTGCTTATACAATCAAATAAAAGCTTCTTCAGAATGCGAAACGTTTTCTAGGGTTGGACATTATTTATATATTCTTTACTTATATCGTCTTATTTGGTCAAATTGTATGAAACTTGCAACAAAAAAATGTTTTGATAAATTTGATACATCTAAGTTTTAAAAATCATAGGTTACCATCCCTTAATCCACCATATTATAGCAGAATAAAATCAAAAAAAAACTTTTTTATTGTTTCACAATGAAACGAAAAAAAAATAAAACTTTTCCTCACCAAAGTGAAAGAAAGCTTCTGTTGTTGTATCCAGTTTGTTGCTCATATTTGTCGATATCTGTAAATACATTCGCTTATTGTATGTATATTTTTCAGCAACCATAATAACCATAACACATCCGCCCAATAACATTCCTGCATATTGTGTATGGGAAAGAGAACAATGGGAAAAATATGTTCAGCATGTGCTGCTGCTGCAAAATTCCTGAGTGATTTCATTTGAGCTTTTTTTTTTGTTCACGTCTGTGTTTGCTGTCTTTTTTTGCGGTGAAAATCGATGTGTTGCTGTCGCTTCACTTGCATATAGTCAACGGTTTGTTATTGCATGTTGTCGAATTGATAGTGACAATGATGACAATTGTCATGGGCATTTGTTTGCTGCTGGTTTGGTAGATTTTTCGAATGGATAGTTTCGATTTTGTTGGTTTAAGCTTTGAAAAATTCATTGAATGCGACATTATGGAAATGGTAAGTTGAAATTAGCAGTCACGTGTAAAAATGGGTCAGCTTGAAATAATTTATTAATAGATATGGGAGCAACAATGAAGATTGCGGTGCTCTGATTTTATAAATTTAGCTAAAATTATACGATACGCTATCCAAATTGTTCAAACTCATCACTGTCCATTACCAAGAATATAATGCTTAAAACGTGCCAACAAGACATGATCACTCTCTATATTAAAAGCATTTTGTAGCCAAAAAGCTCTCAGTTCCATTCAAAAGAAATAAAATTTAATAATCGACTCTTAAAACTTTTAACATTACCCTTTCTTTCAATATTACAAAGTCACTTAGTTTATTGAGAAAGTTCTCATTTCCCCAATTTTTATTTTCTACAAATCGGAATGAATACAAATTACTTAAAAAATACATTATTTCAAAAAAAAACACTTGATGATGAAACTGCTGTTTTGATGTATTGAAAGAATAATAACAATAAACATTAAAATGAATGTGCAATTTAAGAGGAAAAAGGGAAAAGCCTCAAAGTGAAATAAAAGAAATGAAATAATTCTTTTGAGTAGTTTCAATGTATTTAATTCGCCCAACATCTGGCGTAATTTTTGAAGAGCACATTCATGAATAAAATATTGCTTTGTATTCAATTTGGATTTTGAGTCGCCTATAAATTAAGATAGAAGTAAATTGTGAAAGCTATGGATGGAACAAATTGAGGATGTCGGGCACATCAGTAGATGGAATTTGGATGAAATATTTATTTATTTTATTTTATTGAGTATGCTTTACAGTATTGATAATGTGTAGCTTAAAAAACCGAAAAGCGCTTTTGTTTCAAAAATTGTCCAAACTTGTGGAATTCTTCTCCATTTTTTTCTGTTCTCAAGATTTTACAAGCAAATTCATAAAATGTAATTGGGGATGAAAAAGTCCATTTTTTTGTTTCATATTCTTTCCATAAATGTTTTTTTTTCCAATTTTTGAAGCTTTCTTCTCTTGTTATTGATCTTACTATGTTTTCTGTTTCCTCATTGGCTTGTTTTGCTTAATTATCATTATGTCGACAATATCTAAAAGATAATAAAAATTTCTTGAATATCTTTTTTAAATTAAATTAAAAATTCCAGCATATTTTAGAAAGCAAGAAAATTTAAATTGCTTTGCGATTGTTGTATAGTGAGTTGTGATATGAAATATTTTTTGAAGTCAAAAATTATTAAGAACAAAAATCTCAATGCACAATCATAAGTTTCATATCCACAAGATGTCCATCCGCCCACCACACCGTTTGTTCGATAAATTGTAGTAAAATTAAAATAATTTGTTTCCGCCCTCTCATAAATAATGACAATAAAAACAAAATCTCACAAAATTAATAAGAAAACGAAAACAAAAATTATTAAATGTTTTAAATTTAAATCAACTTTTCAATCAAATCTTCATAACATTTTTTTGTAATTTTATTTAAAAAGAACCAAAATCAGTAAGAACAAGCAGGCAGACAATGAATTTTTAAAATGAATTATCGAGTAAGGTGTCTAGAGTAATAAAATATAAAAGTAGAATGAGAAAAGATGAAGAATTTGCAGGCATAAACGACATTGCCATAGAAGAAGATAAAGACAGTAAGAAATCTTTTTTCCCTCTCTTTTAATGTGCGAACCTTCATTGCTTTTCCTTATTTTGGACATTTTTATGGGTCGCAAATTCGTGTCGCAATTTTTCATCTTCTCAATTTTTATGGGCAACAGAAGGCAATGAATCTATTAAAATGAATGTTTTATGAGATTTTTTCATGATTTTTATGTGAAAATTTCTGAGAGGGGTTTGGGTCATAATGATAGTCTGAGATAGGGATTTGAGGTTTAAATGAATGTAAACTCACAGGACTTACTACACAATTCAATATCAATCATTACTTAAAAAAAAAATAAAAAAAACCTGATCAATTTGGGCTGAATGTTTACATTCATAACAAAAAAACATTAAATTACTTGAAATATCAACATTGAAAATATATTTTCAAAGAAATAAAGGAAAATAATGAAGCAAAAGGAAAGGAAACACAACGCAATGTAATTTGTCATCATCTGCTATTGCCTTCGGCAATCTGCTTCCATTCTGTTCCAAAAATAATAAAAGAGAGTCAGCGTTCTTTTGTTATGTGACATACAAAAAGAAAAGAAATAAGAAGAAAAATTTGAATTTTATTTAAATTATGCAGTAAAAATAAACGGAAGAGATGAACTGGAGAGGTCATGGAAAATATAATAAAATAAAAAAATAAAGAAGACAAAAAGCTCTCAAAAGGAAGAAAATATCTTTGAGGCATTTCGTGCTAAAATCGAAAAAGAAATGTTGACTAAAATTTTACATTTTTTATTATTTATTTTTATTTGCATAATGAGGCAGTGGGTAGCAAGTTCATGGAATGACTTCCGTTTTTTCTGCGTATCACATCAAAAAAGCTGATTATTTTGCAAAAAAAGATCTGAAACTCATCAAAACATGTTCATAAATTTTGCCATAATCTTGCTTAGTAAGGCTATAAAACAACAGCAAAAGTGCAAAATATTTTTGTCAGCATAAGAACAGCAAACATTTACTTAAGCTTATAATTTACATTCATTCTCATCTCTAACAAATTATCCAATAAATGTCATCAAATTGATTGCCAATGAATAAAATTGAATGAAGTTGAGAGCAAGAGAACAATAAAAGCATCAGTGACAGTGAGAATAGGATCATAAAATGACAAAAGACCGAAAGAAAAAGTTGTTTTTATTGCATCATCTTTGTTCGCATCATAAAAAGTTGACAAATCAATTGATTACTTACTCATAAAATGTGTTTGGCATGGACACAAAAGTTGATAAGCACAAATAATCTGGTCAGCTAGCAAAAAAGGGAACAAGTATATCTAAGATCGACAATATACCCCAACAAAGAATATCCTGAAATTTAAAAAAAAATTCGTTAAAAAATGAGTCCTTGTTAAGGAACATCAGGGGCCACCCGGGATTGAACCGGGGACCTCTCGATCTGCAGTCGAATGCTCTACCACTGAGCTATAGCCCCACATGAACGATCACTTACAAAAACTCTACTTAAATTTTTATTTTTTTATCATTAAAATTTTTCTAATTATATTAAGTACAACAAAAAATGTTTTTTATCACTTAATGTTCCGTTGACAGCAGAACAGATGTTTTGACTGATGAATATATCATTTGTGATATCTATTGTGTTATACATTCGATAAAAAGTTGTTTAACATGTAGAAATAAAAAATATGAAGACATGAATGACACCCACATGATTGTTTTTGTTGACTTGTTTTAGCTAGAAAGTTTGCAGTTTGCCATAATACTATGAATTAATGAAACTACAAAGCTTTTTTTATTAATTTTAAAAAGATAATACAACAATTTTATTCCTCATTTGGAACCTTTTCTTCATCTGATTCTTCACCCATAATTTCTCTAACAGCGTTTTCTTCGCCAATACTAATCAACCGTTCCTTTAAATTTTCAATCACATTCCTTAAATACAACAAATCATCAATATTCTCAACAAATGTTTGCTGATGAAAAGATATTTGCTCATCATAAAATGCTTGTCGTTTCTGATGTTTCGCCAATAATTTTTGGATTACATGATTCTCAGCATTTGCATGTTGAATGATCATGTCTGAATATTTTTTAAGATTTTTTTTCTCTTCTTGAAGATGCATGAGTGCACAAAATTCACGAGTATTCTCGTCTGTTCTTTTGATTGTAATCATATGTGGTTTTGATAGCCGTTGACTTGAAAACATATTTAGATCCAAATCGATATAGTTGTGAGACCTCGGTGGAACAAAATTATCGTCATTTATACCCATTATAATATTTTATTGATTATACTGTGAAGCTTTAACAGTAACTGAGATAAACTCGAGAGTTTTTTTAAGTCAATAAAAAATTTTACCTGAAGCAGAATTCACAAAGTTTAATTAAAATATCGAGAAACTTTTGTCTAAGTTAAAGTTTCAAACATCAACTTAATAAAAGAAACTTTTATTTTTTAAAAACTTTTTCTAAATGTTTTTCAATCTGGTTTTAAATTTAATTACTTCAAATCTGTCTTAAGCATAAGAACAATCAGTTAAACATTAAATCATGGATCAACGAGGCAATCAAAATCAACAAAAACCTAGCATTGCACCACAAGCTTCATTCAACGAATCAGCACTTTCAAATTTCCCATCATCTTCTTCATCTTATCAACAATTTGAAGCTAGCGTTTCCAGAAATTCAACATTTGTCTCATCAAAATTGAGCCTTGGATTGATTATTGAAAAGTATAAGAATCATAATGATAAAATTAACACAGCTACACAAAATGTGCGTAGATCATATAATGACAGAAAGAAAAAGTTTGAAAAAATCTTGAGCATGTATGAACGGCAGCATGAAAAGTCGAAGCAAAATCTTGACTTGTATAGAGAACGGAGCGCATTATGCATCGATGAAATGAAGAGACTTGAAAGTATTATACGTGGACTAAACGACAGATTGTATCAAATTGAAGGATCGGATACCGAAAATGAAGAAGACTGGGGCCGTGCACAGATTGAGGAATAAAGTTAAAGATATTTCGAGCACTTTCAATAAATTTTTAGGTTTCATACCACAAAAACCAGAATTAAGTTGTTTTTTAATTTTTATAGTAAATTTTTAAAGTTTGTTTAGAATTTGGTGTTCCTGGTTCTAGCTTGATTTTCTACAACAAGAGAAAATATAAACAAAAATTTACATTTAAATGAATTTTTCTCCTCGATTTTTTATACTTCCTACCTTCTCTGAGATCCATGTAAGAAATTCATCAGGTTTTAGATCATCTAAATGTATATCATATTATAGGATGAGAGAAAAATGCCGGGGTTCGAGTTCTGAAGTTAACCAAAATTAATCGCAAGGATTCCTTTTCTTATTCAACAATTTTTTCCACCATATATTCATCTCAATTTATGTTTGCATATATTCATGCGGTTACACAAAAGGAACAACACCATATAGTATGATAATGATAATAATGATGCACATCTTGTTCCACAGTCGCAAGTTGCTTCATTATTTTTTAAATGTAAATTGAAAGAAAATATGGGAAATTCAGTCTGAGTCTCATTTGCATGCTGTAATAATGAACACTTTTCACTATTTTATTTTTAAAGGTGAATAAAATGATTGTGTAGGACTGATGAATGAAGTTCTTAGTGCATATTTCAAACATACAATGAAAGAAGCATAATCCTCAGCGACTTCATTATTTTACACTTTTATTCATATCACACAATAACCCAAACAAAATATTTTCCAGAGCTTTTCTATCAGTTTCGAATAACAAAAAAAAATCTTCTGTTCCATTTTTATTCATGCAATAACATGTAAAATACATGAGTACAATAACAAACCACAGCCACATGTGAAAGGAGGGAATATAAATGTGAAACAAAATTCTTCACCATCTGTGTCTGTCTTAAAAAGGAAAAGTTGCATGAGACACACACAAAAGTTGCTAGGGGAAGTATAAACTAAATGAATTTACAATAAACACATGAGAATGAAAAAGCAATTTGAATGCTAAATATGGAAATGAGAAACAGATGAAAGACATGAAACTAAATAAGTTGGGATCAAAATCTTTTTTTGAACAGAAAATATTTAAGAAATTTGATTTTTTTAAATATGTTAAAGAGCAAAGTTTTAGAAACTTTAAACAAAAATTTGAAAGTTAATTTTAAATTGATTTTTTATTTTGTTTAATTATGAAAAATTTATACAAAATTGTCGAGCTTGCATGCATCAACAGCTTGTTAACCATGCTTCACATTAAAATAAAAAAAAATTGACAACATAAATCACGATAAAATTTAATTAAAAGAAAGTAAACTTTCGTTAGCAAAGCGTTTTTTATTAAGCTTTAAAATGAAAATAAATTTCTACACATTTAAGAATGCAAACATTTTGATTAATTGAAAACGATATTCATTTGTGGATGCGTACAATTTATCGCTTTTTTAGCAATGGGTGGTAACATGACCTCAAAAGCTTCTAATTTCAAAAAGTTTAAAAACCCTAGAAATCTTCGACTAAGTTTAAAGTTTTCTATTTTAATAGCTAAAATTTTAAAAAAGCCAACCCTTGTTCAACATATAATTCACTCTACTCAAACTCACGCGCTTGTAGACTTAGCAGTCTCTAATAAATAAGTTGAGCAACGAAATTAATGACAAGCATGCAGTTATAATCTAATTTGTATGTTCTCTAGTATCAATGAGCGATTATGTTAATTTATTGCACACAATTAAATGTTTCACAATCATTGCGGGGTGTGTTTAACTGAGAGAAAGCTTGATTTGTTGACTTTGGTGTTTTACACAAATTCATTTGAGGTTTTGATGAATAAATATTGATACTGCTAATGGAAACAATAGATTTTTAGCTTAATACTAATTTCTCATATTTTGATTTCTAAAAAATTCTTTAATAATTCTTGTGTTAAAATGAAGTGGAGAAAAACTGGCTGTTCTGATCCCATCAAACATGTCTTACTCAAACAATTTACTTTTTTCCTCTTTCATAAAGTGGACTTCTTACAATATAAACATCATCACTAACTTTATCCATTGTTTTCAAGAAGTCTTCGCACTTTGGATTTAATTTAGTATTTGTTCTGAAATTAAACGGATACAAATAATTAAATTTAAATTAGATTTAAATGAACATACCTTATTTTAACATTAAAATATCTTTCTTTAAGTGTCATACAAATAAAGTACAAAACTTCTATCATGGAGAGAAGAGAACATCCTAAGAAAAGTCCAAGTAGACCTCCAAGATCAGCAATGACTTTATTCAAATGAAAAATTTAAAATTTGTTAATTGGTTTGTTGAATACTTATAATTTTGTTGCAGTAACTTACAGTTTTGAAACTTGTAGGATACAAATTTTTCATTTAGCTGTATCACATGATCATCAAAGTGAACCTATACTCGAGAATAAAGTAACCTATAAAAAGATTTTATATCAATAACCAAGTGTTTAAAATTTATCTTTTACTCACTCCTTTGAATAGTTTTGAATCCGATCTGCATGAATTGATGCATCATACACAAAATCAGTCTCACTGACTGTATATTCAACATCATTGCAAGTTGGATAGCAATCACAAGGTGTTGTTCCAGACTCTAAATCTTCATCATCAGGCCAATCGTAAGTACTTCTATGAACACACATTGCTTCTTTGAAACCACAAACTTGTGTCGATGAATTTCTAGGCATATAAAATGCAACACATCCGCACTTTTCAAAAACATCTTCTGCGAGACATTCGAGATAACACTGATATTTTGTGTAGGTCTTAAAAAACTTCAATTTTCTCTCATCTTCAAAATAGCACAATCGTGTACTTGGTGAATATCCTCTTAAAGATTCATGAGCTTTAGTGGCCTTTGCTCGAAGTTTTAATCTTTTTTCGTGTGTTTGCTCAACCTGAAAGCCTCCATGAAATATTGTTGGAATCTCATTAGGCATGTGAATTTTTACAAGAATTGTTCTCAAATTACAAACATTTACAGCATCTTCAGCAGTAGAAAATGTTCTTGCAATGTGAACATTAGCTTTAGTTAATCGATAAGGAATGACACCTTTTGTCAATGAATCATTATATCCATTATCTAATGTCCAAAAAATATCCGTTTCATTCTTATTCTTTTTATTTGATCGAGGGAATTCATAATAATTTTGAAGATCCTTGCTCATTTCATTGAAATTTAAAATTGTGTCAATATTTTGCATATTTGTTGTGAAGCAAAATCCACGATCTGTCAATATCCTTCTAAACATATGTTTACAATCACCATTTATGAGTCTTAAGCTACAACCAGCTAAGCTTTCTTCTATTGTCAGCTGGCTTTCATCCATTAACTGTAAAATGTTAGAAATATTTGTCTCACTACAACACTCATTAAATGGTTGCAATCGATTTATAGCACAACGCAGTGAATTAGATGACAAATATTTTTTATCCATTTCTGTTAAGTTTAAAAGATTTTGTTTTTCATTCTTATAATATTCAGAGACATAATTGGAATAATTTGCTAATCCGTTCTTTGCAAATAAAGGCATGCAAAATGTAACGGCAGGAAATGGAACCTCTCTAGCAAGTTCATACTTTACAGAAATCCCAATGTCAGGCGATATATTCAACTTGATAAATAATCGTTTGCCATTGTAAAATAAACCAATTAATGACATGATTAGTGAAAGAGACCAGAATATTCGTGAAAAGCTATTATTTCTTCTTTTCGAGAGGAACCGAAGGCCATGAATTGAACTATGCTCAGTAAAGTGTTCAAAATTTGGTGACTCGTTTGTTGGTGGTTCAAGTTTTTGACAAAAAGTTGAAGGTTGAATTACTTGATTTTCTGATCCACATTTGCATTTTTTGCCAAATAAATCTTTTAAAATTTTCTTTCTTTTTACTTTCGATACAAGTTGCCTGCAATTTAATCTTGTAGTGATTTAAAATGTAATCTAAGTAAAATGGTTTGATTTTTTTGATAAAAAGATTACCTCAATTTGTTTTCGTCTTTGAATCGCATTTTTAATGGGAAATAAACAAACTCAACTGCATTATTGTTTATTTTAAAGATTTTTTTGTCTAACATTTTGCGTGACTAAAAGAAAGCGCTTATTAATTTAAAGTGGAAAATTATGTCACTCAATTATGAGCTCTTTAGTTCAAGTTATTGAATTAGAATAGACATGACATGCATGTTCGTTAAAATATATCTATTTCATTATTTTTTCAGACTTTAAGTACAATATTCTACATCCAAACTTGCCAAAAGTTCACAACACTCATTAGCTACAGAACATTCATAACTGCTTTCGTAATTCACGAAGGAATCATCAAAATTCAATCCATAAATCATTTTTATGTAAATAAAACTGCATATTCATTATAGCTTTACCACAATAGCATAGACTCGTCAGAATAAAAGTCAGTACATGTTCATCAAAACTTGCATAAATTTGACATCAAGTCATGTCCAACATTCAATTTTACGCTCTCGTGCGCATCTGGTTTTGGTTTATTGATGCCTGTGTGGTTCGTTGATATAAATCACTAGTTTTTTTTTTGGGTAGAAAGTCATCTATAAATAATGATAAAAGTGGACAAAAGAGACAGTTGTGGATGGAGAGGAACTGCAGCAGTTTGTGCATATTAATGAGTTGGGCAATTAAAAACATTTGTTACCGTCAACACATAAGCGTATTGAGGATGAGATTAATAATGAGAATGCCATTTTTAAAAACAAACAGCAATATTTTCTTATCAAAAAACAAGCACAAGTTCCATCATAGTAAAAATATTCATGAAGGTTGATTAAATTCCCTTAAGAAATTCACGATTGTCTGCACAAACTTTCATAATTTCCATGCTTTATTCACTTATAAAACATTATGCATCCGAAATGTCTTTTTATAATGATTTATTATGATAATACAAAATTGCATGTTCATACATTCACATCTCCCTCATGTGCAATTCTTTTTACATGCAACAGCATCTAACTCACTTGAAACTTGAAAAGTTTTCTAGCTAGTTTACTCGAGATTTTCTCTTCTCGTTGTACGATGAGAAATTTCTTTTAATTTTTATAGAATTTTTTTATTGTGCATCATTTTAATGCATAAATAATGCTTTACGGACAGATGGAAATGTGGAAAAATTACTTACATGGTTTGTGGAAACGATGTATAATAGGATTGGGGAATTGGAGAAATTTTACTTGTTCTTCTATTGTCGTTGCTGCTTTACTAGGAAATAAATTCACTAGGAACAAAATCTTTGTGATGTAAAAATAAAATGTTTTGGTTTCCTTTACTGACAAGAAAGTTTTAATTGGATTTCTAGCTAAGTTGGATAAAAAGATTGATGAAACTGTGGAAAAGTGATAATGTACAATAAGGCATTTATCATTAATGTATGATAAAATATGCACACCTCCTTCTTGCTTAACTTTTATTTCTAAGATCTATGGACATTTAAAATTTCTATGATTATATTTCAGTTTTCTTATCAACTCTTTATTTGCTGGGTTTTTCCTCTTCTGATTTTTAATTGTTCATTTTTGTTGTTTCAAAAAAAATAATTATATAATTTAGTTCGTGATAAGTTCTCATAGGAGGAGGCTGGAGAAAATAATTAAGAAACATTTAATAATAATAAAAAAAAAAAACAAGATATGATAAAAAAATTGTTGTGAGTAAATTATTGAAAAATATATAAAACACAAACTAAGTTTTATCTTTTTATAACAGTTTAAGTATTCTCGTCCTTCATTTTGTTGTATCTTCATCATTGATAGAAATCAACTGCGATTATCATGATGATGGCGATTGGTGGGTGCTTAAAAAGTTTTATTACTGCAATGTGAAAAATCAGATGAATATTGATTCGCCTGATAGAGCTTACATCGAATCTGTAACTGGCAAACATTTGAGGGACAAAATTTTTGATGATGTTGAAGGATTTGAAGCTGATAATTTGACAATCCATTATTTTCCACGTGGATTAGAAAATATATTTAAAAACCTCAAAATGATCGACATCAACAATGGTCGATTAAAAGAAATTCATCAATCTGACTTGAAACCTTTTTCAAAATTAGTATGTCTTGAACTATATGAGAATGACATTGAGTCACTTGAGAAGGGACTTTTTGATTATAATCCAAAACTAGAAATGGTTTGGCTTTCAAGTAACAAAATTTTTCATGTCGATGTTAATTTATTTGATAACTTGGTCAAACTTACTTATTTATCACTCGACGCGAATCGCTGCATATCTGAATACGCTGAAAACGATACCAAAAAAGTAAAGGAAATCATAAAATATTCAAAACAGAACTGTAAAGATATGATTTATTTGAAAAAACTGTTTCCTGATTTCATGGCAAATATTGACAAAATGGAAGAAAACATTGAGAATCTTGAAATCGATATATTAGCTAACAATGCAATCCATCCAGATTATATCAAAAGTGATGATAACAACTACTTCTTTTTAGATTTTTTTTTAATTTTTTGCTGTGGGACAATGGTTGGTATTTTGGGAATTTTATTTTATAAAAAATTCTGTCCTGATGGATTTAAAGTAAACAAAAGAGTGGCTTTTGAAAATCGTCAGTATAGTAACCCGACTCTTGTTTAACTCTACTCCATGATCCATTGGTCTATAATATTTTTTTTTTGTTCTGCAAAATATATGCAATAAATAATATAAGCAAAATATGTATTTCTCAACGATCAAAACTGAGTTTGAATTCTTCTAATTTATTTTACTCTAATAATACAAAAACTGAATAAAATTAAGAAGCAAACCATAAATCCATGATGTCACAAACTTATTGTAACTCATAAAAACTAACAGGCACTCGATATCCTCGATTACTTTCAACTTTTGCCTTCACATCATAAAACCATTTTCCTAATTTTGTGTTGTCTAAGCAATCTTGAAAAGCTTCACAACCTTCCATACTACAAAGGACACCAAAAACTGAGAGATCTGCAAGGTTCGGTTCTTTTCCACCCAAGAATGTTGTTTGTTTCTTCTCAAGGGCACCCATCCATTTATCACATGCATCATATAAGTGTATACGAACATCATCAGTGAGACCATGCTTCTTCTTGAGACGCTTACTAATAAGCCACATCGCAAATGTTCCAACATGAACCATTAAGTTGCGTTCCCATTCTGGGAAGTAAACATTCCATTGACCAACATCTGAGAACCATTCAAATGTCTCACGTGCTTCACCATAAGTTCTATAGACATTAGGTGAAATGAGATGAACTAAATGGTTATCAGTCCAGCTTCGATATTTTCGTTCCTCATCGAACAATTCTTTTGAAATCTTTGGCTTTTTATCTTGAAACATGAGGAAATATTTATTAGCAATGTCAAAAAGTGTCCCATAGACATCCTCAAACTTTTGCACTGGATAGTATTTTTGGACATCTTTAATGTCATTTTTAACTGGATCTACAAGAATGCTTGATATTGCTGAGATGATCATGCTTGAATCATTCAATTGGACATAATCTCCATCTTTTGATCGAACAAGGACAATAGGAACTTTTTTGGATTGTGACCATTTAATGCTTTGCCTCAAAACAGCATCAACTTCAACCACGGAATAGGAAAGTCCAGAATAATCAAGAAATGCACGAACTTTACAACAGAATGGACACGTTTGGAATTGAAACAAGATTATGTCAAGTCCAGTTTTGTCATTTGGATTAATGATTTTTCTCATTACCGGTACATCAGGTTTTTCTTTTAAAATTGTAGGCGTAAGATCCTTAGTTGTTGCTTTTTTCTTTCCAATATTATCATATGCAGAATATACAGTACCGATAGTTCCTCCAATAGCACCCTGTGAATTGAAATTTTCAATAATTATAGACCTTGGAAGTGATTAGAAAAATATTTATACTTACACCAATCAGCAATAATTTCAATGTTGATGATTTTTTCTTAGGTTCGGTAATTTTTGTGGCATATTGACGAAACAATTGAGCATTTCTTGATGGTAACTGAAGAGCACTCAATCTCGCAATATTCCTTGTACGAAGAATAAGAGCTGTTGAGAACATCGACATCTTTTTTTGAGAATTTTCTTAAATTTTAATGTCGAATGTTTTCTTTTTTATTGTTTTGTGGTGAAAAATCTGAAAAATTCAACTTATGGTGAGTATTTACAATAGCTGATGTTTTTGAAGGTTTTATGAAATGTGATCCTTGTTTTTTGATATTTTCTGAATGCTAATGCTTGTAAACTGCTTTATTTTCTTTTATATATTTGTAACAAAGTTAACTATGCGAACTGATCCTTGTTGATAAAACTTTCCGAATATATAATAAATATTTTAAGATATTTTCAAAGTTTCAAAACTCCCGCCAAAATAATAATAATATTGCCATTCAGTCATAAAACATCCCAACAACATCACATAATAGAACGCACTGAAAAGCCAACAACAACAATAAAATCAAAAACTTTTGAGAGAAGAACATTAAAAACGTAAACAAAGGAAGTAAAAATCTTAAACAAGAAAAAAATCATAAATTTAGTTCTAATAAGTTAACAACATTGCATTTATGAGAGTTGAGATTACCAAAATAGTTTTGAATGTGTAAAAATTTAGCAAAATAAAAGAAACCTGAAAAGAGTTTCAAAAATCGTCTTAAAAAAACTAAATTTAAATGATATTCAAGTTGACCAATTGCTTGATAAGATGCAGTGGAAGAGCTGGATTCGACCGGTTTTGATTTTCATCTATTTTATCTTTCTATTCATTGGTAGCTTGAATTAATTAAATCAATTTATTCATTCGTTAATTGAATTTTCTCATCATTTTAGTAACTCCACTGATCATTTGGAATACAGTAAAGGATGGCTTCGAAAGGCGAAATCAGCTTATACTCGTTGGATCGCTGTTTGTCTTCTGTGCATTGCCTATTAGCTTTTTTCACTTTGCACAACATCTCAAGCACTTCAACAAGCCAATATTGCAGGTATGTAGCTGTTTGTAGATTAAAAATAAACGTATTAGGTCGAAAGAATCAGAAAGAAAGCAAAACAAATTTTTTGTAAGGTTTCTCGGTGATTTTTATTCTCAGTAAAGAGTATGATAAATCCACGAAAGTAATTATTAAACCTAAATTTATTTATGCTTTTCCAGAAACACATTATTCGAATCGTAATGATGATTCCAGTCTACAGCTTAGATGCTCTCTTTGGTCTCATTTATCCTACATACTCTTTATATGTGGATGCACTTCGTGAAATTTATGAGGCCTACGTTATATATAACTTTATGAGATACCTACTTAATTTCCTGAACTTAGAGATGGATTTTGTGATTGCACTTCAGTATAAAGAACAAGTTTATCATTTCTTTCCAATGTGTTTTGTGAAGCCATGGAGAATGGGACGAGAACTGGTGCATAATTGCAAGCATGGAATTTTACAATATACTGTGAGTATTCGACAGCAAGATAATCAAGTTTAAAGCATTAAAAATCAATGATGCATTGCTTTAAATTTTATTAAACTTCTACAGAATATAACGATGTTCAAAGAGGTCATGTATTTGTTTAATGGGTACATCACTTGCTACGTCGTTGATTAAAAACCCATACGTAATAGATTTGCTGAATCATTATTTATTGTTTCAAAAATATCTGACACATATTTCTAAATGATAATTATGTCAATCTGCTTAAGTTCATTTAAAAATCTTATCAGTGAAAAAAGATGATGAGGTGAAAATCAAATTAATTTGCGGACTTGTATGCAACTTTGTTGATTTCAAGTTCTCTATAGATAAAATTTAAATTAATGCACGCACCTCGCGTCTTTTGAAGAAGTTGTCTTAAGAAAGGAATTTTAAATATTAACAAGTCTTGACTAACATTGTTTTATTTTCAGATTGTGAGGCCATTAACCACAATAATCGCAATTATTTGTCAACTAAATGGCGTGTATGGAGAGTCAACATTCTCATTCAAAAATGCATATATTTATACATTAGCTGTAAGTACTAATAATATCTAAAGTCCTTAAAATTTTTGGTAAATTTAATTTTTGAATAATTTCAGATTAATAATTTTTCACAATTTTGTGCTATGTACTGCCTCGTACTATTCTATAAAGCAAATTATGTAAGTTAATTAAGGTTAAGTTTGTGAAAATTTTCAAAATTATAGTTTTTATTTGTAGGATGAACTAAAGCCAATGAAACCATTACCAAAATTTCTGTGCATCAAAAGTGTCATATTCTTCTCATTCATGTAAGTTGTAAACGTAATTAAAGTTATCATATTATTTACATCACATTTTCCTTTCATCTCAATAGTCAAGGTGTGATCATCAATGTTTTAGTAAATTATGATTTTATTATTGACGTATTTAACTCAGATACAAATGGTGATAAACAATTGCTCTCATCAAGATTACAAAACTTTCTCATTTGCATTGAAATGTTTTTTGCTGGTAAGTTTTTCGCACATCATACTCAAGTCTATTTGGGTCTTCAATATGTTCTGTTCTGTATATCAATTTAGCTTTAGCCCACCAATATTCATTTCCTTACAAAACATTCCAAATCAATGACGCGGATGTTGATGGAAATTGGTTCAAAAATTTCATCTCATCACTCGATGTTGATGACGTCCGCCAAGACCTTTCCGAACATTTTGGTGTTGTCGGTGATAGAATTGCTGGAACGTTCCGGAGTCAGCCAAGTTACCTTCAATATTCCGAAAGTGATCGTCTAGTAAGCTCAAGTAATTATGAGTCAAGAGTTGTGGCTGTGACTAGAGTAAAACAGCAAAATTATGGAACTACTTATGAATCGTCGAAAGATGGAAGCCAAAAGTATCGAACGGAGCCGATTGGAAAGAACAATAAAAGATATAGGATAGTTGAGATAGAAGATAGTGAACCAACGCCAAGTTCTAGTACAAGAACGACAGCGTCAACGAGCAACATGACACAAAGTATGATGAGTACTACAAGCACGACAAGTAGCTATGGAATCAATGTTCGAGGTCCCGAAAATGACCCAATTAACTATAGAAATCCTGATGTGTAATGTTTAACTTCTTTAAATGTGAAACAAACTAAAATAATAAGTTCATTTCGGTAGAGAATTAATTAAAGAACTTTTTTATTTTTAAATTGTATCAATTGAAAGAGTTTTAAATAATTTTATTTTATTTATCAATAAATATAAACATTTAAATTTAAGATTTTTCTAAGTTTTCACTTCTTTTGTGTGATTTTTCAATTGTTAATTTCTTTTTCAGTAAAACTAAGCTCATCAACAGTCTTTTCAAGGACAAGAACTTTATCTACTTAGATAAAATAAGATAATTTAAAAAATCTAGTTAATATTTTTTTGTTCACGTTTGGTTTTACAATAAAAATAAATTGTTTTGTTTAAAGTTTAGCAACGTGTAGCATGAAAAGAACAAAGCTATAAAGTTTTTCTTTAAGAGTTATTAATATTTCCTAGGTAACACAGAATCTCCGATCATTTTTTTTTAATTCCTTATTTTTCAAGTTTAGAGAAATTTAAGAAAAATATTAATTTTTTTTTAAGTTTTAATATAAAATAAAATTATTCCACTTACCAAAAAAGTAACATCGAGTTAAAGGACTTCATTATCATCTGGGAACAAAATACATCAAACCATATTTTCCATGCACAATTAAGGCTTTTCAGAGAATTTCTAAGTATAAAAGAAAGCTTTTTTAACTTTCCTAATCAGTCAAATAAGCAACTATCAACAAGAAGATATACTTCCTAATAACAATTAAAAAGTGAATAAAAATTTAAAATCAGAAAAAATGCAAGGAAAAATTTTGAATACAATTCTAATCTTGAGTTTAGCTATTTTTGCTAATATTGATGGTAAAGTCTAAAATTATAGCGTAAAAACAATGTATTAATAATCTTTAACTATTTAGTTGCCCAAGCTGGTTCATCGCCTCATGATGTTTGTGAAATTTATGTTGATACGTTCAGCATAATTTACAATCAATCTTTAACAACATTAGCCCAATCTTTTCAAGACGCTAACCATTCAATGCATTCAGTTAATGTTTACCTTCCTCGTGAATATTATTTAGATCAATTAAATATGATTTTATTTTCGTGGATTGATGAAAATTCTCCAACACTACAAGCTGCTTATGAATCTGCTGCATCATTGACCGGTACTACAAGTGACTATATTCAAATTGATTGAAGGCAGTGTTATAAATCCACCATCACCTGTTTCTTGTCTATACGATATGATCATTGAATTGTACACCACTTTGAATAGCTTGTATAACTCTCTCGAAGCTATCACTCAACTTCTTTCTGATTCTCAATTGATAGTTGGTGATCACAGACCATCACTTGAACAAAGCACATCTTCTTAGACATGTTGTTTAATTCAGTGAAAAAGAGGAAACTTATTTAAATTTATTCTATTAAAATTTTGAAAAAAAATGATTTGTTGAATTTGAGGAAATAAAGAAAATATAATTCAGAATATTAAATTATTGCATTCACGTATGACTTATATTTTTGAGAAAACATTAGATTTTTACAATATTGTTAAAAATGAGTACGGCTAAAGCTTTAAAACATCAAAATTACTTTCATTGATGTGGACTTATTAAACATCCGCTCGGTTCACAAACATAAGTCATCGAATCTACTTGCATCATAAAATTCCCATGCCAAAAATCTTAAAATCATGCTGAGGTTTCAAAATCAAAGATAACATCTCTCTAAGCTAAAAATTAATAATTTATGAACATAAAAAACACAAAAGTTTATTGATCTGCAATTTTTTTATTGTCACAATAAACTGGTTTGACAAATTTTTCTCTCTTTCAAAAATTTCTTTTAGTCTGTATACCGGCATTTCGAAGAGATTTTATGATTTTTTTTGTTAAGCTCTCTTGAATTTTAAACTGTCTCAAATAATTGAATTTTTAAGTCTCTCGAAATATTTTGAATTTTCTTCATGGTTTAACACCTTTTATTCCTCTCGCAAATGTACTCAAAAAAAAGTCGCCAAATGTTTAAAAAGTTTTGCACAATCGTTTTCTTTTCATTTTGTGGACATTCGAGATTTAAGTTCTTCACGTGGAAAATAATTTTTTACAACGGCAGGAGTTTTGTCGTGGACGTTGTCGTGATAGGAGGTCTTTATTCAAAAGCAGAAAAATTGATTTTAGTTTTATTTGAAAAAAAAGGAATTTTATTATTTGAAAAAAAATTAAAAAAAAAGAAAATTTTATTTTCAATTATTTTATAACCAACAAGTTTAATAAAAAAAACCAATTAATATGGAAGAAATTATGAACTTTAATTGGACTGGAAAATGTAAGTCTAAAGTTGTCTTAATTTTGTTATTTGATTATAAGTTAATCGACTCTTCCTCAGATTTCTACTTGGATATGTTTCCAATGATGCACACACCATACCCTATTTTGGCCATCATTGCAGTTTATTTGATTTTTGTCCTCAAACTGGGACGACTTTACATGAAAGACAAGCCACCATTTGACCTCGATGACCTATTGAAACTATATAATGTATTTCAAGTTTGCTGCTGCACGTACATCGTTCTCGCAGCACATTTTATTCACGGATATAGCTTCTTTACTTTTTCAAAATGTATTCTAAGTCCAGAACCTGTTGGAGAAGAGGATCCAGTGTCTCTTCATTTAGTCAGATTTCATATTGATGGATATTTGTTCATGCTGTTGAGATTGTTAGAATTAATCGAAACAGTTTTCTTCGTTTTGAGAAAAAAGTATAATCAGGTGAGCATTTTTGCAGTGTTAAGTGGTGACATTTGATTTTTAGTAAACAATTAAGCTTTTAACACTTAAATTATGAAAATTATCTGAAATGAAAATCATCAAGATTAAGATTTTATCTTCTCAATTTATTATTCACGTGATTAAATGTGCTTAAATAATTTTTTAAAAAAAAATTACCAGCATGGACATTTATTTTATTACTTGACAAGACAATGAAATGGAGTGAAAAGAAGTCACATGTTGAATATGGGATGGTTTTTATGTTTATGCATAACAATAAAATTATGGCTCAAAGGAATATTTCGGATATTATGATAAGAATTGTTGGCATACTTCGTAACATCCAAATTATAATTTTTGACCTCCTCCCCTCATTATATCTCATTATATCACTTACCCATTATTTGATATGAGCATGAGCTGGTCCCATTCTTTTTTTCTAAATGCCATTCAAATTAACACAAAATAGCAAAAAAAAAATAAATGAATATAAATTTTATGATTAAAAGCAGAATAAGATTTGGGATAAAAATATATTCACTGCAAAATGTTTGTTATTTATCCAAAAGAATATTTTAATTCTTGAAAAACAAACTTGTTTTCATCTCCTTCATATATATTCCTTACCTCCTGAAACTTAATGAGCATCTTCGTCTTTTGGACTTTTGCAAACAAGAATCAAATAATTTGATAACTGATTCCATTGAAAGAATATTTTTATTGCAAAAAAACTTGTCTGGAGCAGTTCCTGTTCTCATCAAGTATATATATCATTAGGTTGGAGATTTCGATTTGATCATTTAAGTAAATTCTTTTTGCATCTCGTTTTTTAAAAATTGAATGCAAATATTTTTAAGTAACTTATTTAAATACTTATCCAGAAAAAGGCTGGCACTTAACTTAACTATTTATTGTAGTATGCTAATAATAAATCTGATCAACTTATGCAAAATTAATTTTATGAGATATTCAATGTGACTATGAGTCATGACATTTGCTTAATCTTCAGTTCTTAGTTTTGATATTGATAAAGTCAAATGTCATCCTGATTTTTAAAAATTAGCTTTCTAAATGACGTAAATTTTTGCACTCAAACAAAATCTTATTTAATTGTCAATATTAAAATTTTGAACTGAAAAATCTAAACTTAATGCCAATAAATCAAAACTTGTGAATGACTTGCTCAAATGACAAAAAATTAGTAAACATTTACAAATCCCAACATTTTCAATTTGTCAAGCTAATATTTGAAGAAAACAGAATTAAAACTATAATGAATAAGACAATGACAAAGCTTTTGTGACATAATCTTGGAACTGACCTGTCTTGTTAGTCTAATTTTATTAAATGCGATGTTTTCAGAAAAAAATATGCTTTTCTTATTGACTCAAAATATTTTTTATGACTTTGCTTATCTACACGAAAGGGAATGATGTGACAATTCCGGATGATGTCATTACTTAATGTTTATTCTTATGGAATAGCTAAACTATGGCTGAACATCTGCTTTAAATATATAAACTTACAAGTGTCGACCATATTTGAGTATAAAATTTTTGTAACCTAAAACTAGTTTTTATATAATATTTTATTAAGATAAGTAAAAGTTCTTAAATTAGCATCTATTTGATAGAATATTGTGCTTGTCATGATAAATATTCGGGAAAAATTTAAAACTGTTTTCTGAAAGACCCAATTTGCATGATGGCTCACATGATTTTTTTCAATGTCAAAATTTAATCCTAAACAAAAATTCATAATCACGAATTTTAAATTTTCGCTTAAAGTCAGCAACAACATTTCTAATACCAAAAGATCGAATTAAAAATAATGCAAAACATCAATCAAATTTACTTCTTAAATCTTACATGCATTTTATGATATCATTATTATTTTAACGAGTCAAAAAACATTAACGATTTGGTGACATTTTTTATAGATTTATGATGTGTTAACTAATTTTATTTTATTATTTTCTTCTATTTACAGGTCTCCATACTCCATGTGTATCACCATATTAGCACTATTGTGTTATGTTGGCTTTTCTTAAAGTATCGCGGAGGTGAATATAAACAAAATTATTATCATAATAAGTTTTACTTACTATACAAAGGGTCATTTGAAGTAGGAAGTCAAAAATTGAATAATTGTTTGATTTGTTGACCATTTTCAATGCAAGTCACATCAAGTGTTATAGACTAAATAATAATTGAATACAACCCTGAAGTAAGAAATTTAAGTTCTCGAAAAATTCACACTATTTTGTCAATAATAAATCAACTCGATTTGAGTATTCTCGGGGTCGTTTACTTATCGATTGCTGTCACTTAAATGTTATTTCTTAAACTTAAACTAGTTGTGAATTGTTAACGCCAAAAAACTTCAATATATTTTAATCATCATTGATTGTTGGTATCCCTCAAATATTAACAATCAAAAAAAGAAAAATTCCCAAAATTCAACAAAATTTATTTTTAACATATAAAATCCCAAAACAACAACAACATGATCTAAAATTCTTTACCTAATCATATTATAATAAAAATCTAGCAAGTCATGCAATCTTGTAGTTTTTTTAAGGGATTTCACAAAAATATCGACAATCTATTTTTAAACTAAAAAAATATATTTACAAATGATGTCCATCAAAAAAATTAAATTCGAGCTTTTCTATTTTTTTCTGAAAAAAAATGTAACAAGCAAGTCATCACGTAGAATCTCTTGGACCTTTTTTAGCACAAAAATTATTTAAATTTATTCAAATGTGCGTATTTCATTTAAGCTTAAATCCTACGGTATTATTTGCTATAAAAATTCTTTCATGAGAATTGTCAGGCACATATTTTTCAAAATAAAAACAAGTTCATGGTCATAAAATATTTCATCTTCCGATTCTGGCTCTAATTAAAAATTCCGAATAAAAAGAAAACACAGCAAAAATTTCTATAAAACAAAAGACAATAAAAGTTTGGACAGATGTCTCTTTTGTTCTAATGACAATAAATGATTCAGCTTTATTTGTAAAAGATTTTTGTTTTTGCTATAAAAATAAAGTTAGATTGAGACTTACTGTTTCTAATATTTCAAGATTATGACGTAAACTTTTGATTAATAACATAATCCACGAGTTTAATCAAAAATTTCACGAGGAATATTTTGATTTATTTTGATTAAAAATGATTTTCTAAGTGAAATCAGAACTTACCAGCTATCTGACAAAATTGTTCTTCTTATTCTTTGTTCTTAAATTTCATTGAGGATACCTAATGAATGAAAAGAACATTCTAATACAAAAAAATATATTTCTTATATATTGTAAGAAATATTTGAATTTTGTTTATGGTGCGACTGATATAAATCAAAACTAAGGATTGTCGTAGTTGCTTTATGTTTTATGCAAATTTTCACGATGAAATTTTAACTCTTTATAAACACAAATTAACTCTCGGAATTCAAACATATCTTAATGATTGGTAAATTTTTGCAAAGATCCGTAGCCTTGTTTACGCAGAATTAAGTAAAATGCGCGGACCTTAAAATTCAAATTCAAATCTTATTTACGAGTTTATTTCTTATTAAAAAAATATTCTGACTGTCCTTGAAGATATATTGAACTCTTTGCCATCTGTTTGATATCTTCTAAATTAACCGTTCTATCAAAGCTATTCGTAAAACAAAAAATTCACGTAGACGATCATTGAAGTCTTTTGTATTCTTCACATATTTACTAGATTAAGAATCCACAAAAGTCATAATATTTTCAATTGTTTACTATCTTTGCTAAATAAAAAAACCATTATAAATCAAGATTAATTCACAAAACTCATCAATTTGCTAAATCAACAAAATTAAATTATCAAATAAAGATAGAAATTTGGCATTTAGTTCTAATTTTTCGGAGGGTTAGCATCTCCAAACTTATGCAGGTTTACGCGAATGTAGATTATGAAAAACTCATTGTTGATGGATCAAAAATCAATAGTCTCATATTAAATTTTGGTGCGTTATTTATGACTTATTTATTAATTTTCAAAACAATTAAAGTCTAGACTAATCTTGCATCTTATGACGTCATTTAGATTATTATCGAAAATGTTGACTTAAAAAATTTAATCTCTTGTAATTATATTTTGTTAATTTTCCTTACTTAGGCCGCATGGAAATGTTCATCGCAGTTATCAACTCATATGTCCACATCATTATGTATGCATATTACTTCTTCAGTTCATACAAACGATTCTTTACAGTGACTAATAAAATCAAGCCATTCATCACGGTGATTCAGATTATTCAACTCTTCCTGATCTTAGTTCAATGCATAGCAATCACATTGTGTGAAAAGTCTAGCCTCAATTATGCCATAGTGATAAATTTTATTCTCAATATCATCTTATTCTCACATTTCTTCATAAAAGCATATTTGTGGAAGCCAAAACGACGAGTTGAAAATAATAACAATAACAATAACAATCCGGATGCTGGCAAAAATAGACAAATTGTATTAGCCTAATGGAGTTCATCTTTATTTTATATGTTTTAAACTTTTTAAATCTTTTATTTTGTATGAGAATGTGTTCGAAATAAAACTTGGATATAGCAAGGAATTTTTAATTAATATCATGATAAAAATCATCCCGTGCTGCATTTTTTGACTTTTGGCTTTTTAATGAAGAAGATGTTGGCAATCCAAATAATTTATAAGAACAACAAAATTCTAGTTTTTCTAGACAATAAAAAATGGGCATTCTTAAGGTGCAAAAAATACTATTTAGTTTATTGAGATCTCAAATTAGTTTTGTGAATACATAAAATCACATTAATCATCATTTGTGGACGGAATATTTAATGTGCTATTTAACATCTATAAAAGTTAATTACCACTTCATATAATTTCACGTTAATACGAATTGAAAAGCTTTTCTTCAAGCATCCTACAGAATGGACAGGATCCTTTTTGCAAAACTTGCAACTCAAAATCTTCAGAATGAAATGCTTGATAACATCCAGGACAAACAGTAATCTGCAACTCAGGCAATAAGTTTCTGTAATATTTAGTTCCGATTGGGAGTGGCCATTTAACCAAAATTACATTTCTCGGATCAATAGCTCGAAGAGATTCTCGATTCAATGTTAACGGCAGCAAGTCACCAATATCATCATGAATAATGGTTTCTGTGAACGGATCGATAGAATCTTCCTTTTGTGGTGTCATCAAAAGTCTTTCAGCTTCTTCTGAACTTACATCAGTTTCAGGAAAAAATTCAGCAAGTGGCAAAATTTCAAATGAAACATAAGAAAAAATAAAATCTTGTTGACAATTTGAGCATTGATTTCCACTTAAATGCATACTAAAGTTTGAGCATTTGTAGCACATCGGCAAAAGTTCCTCCGGGTCACTAAATCCACCACTTGCAGCTCTTGAATTCATAATATTGATGTCAACTTGTTCTTGAATGCCACTAGGTGCCTTCAATGACTGTAATTTATTGTTAATTTGTAGGTGCAGCTTATTAGCACCAAGAACTTTTGCTTGTTTTGAAAGTGTGTAGTAAACAGCAAACATACTAAGACCTTTCGGTGGAAGGCTGTTTGCTATTTGATTAGCAATAAATCTGCTCGTATTAAATAAATTTAAGGGTGGAGAACTTGTGAATGGTTCTCGTAAGTACGAATGGATTGTTGAGTATGCATAATAAATCGATGATAGTTGCAATAATACTTTAAATTCCTTGATATGTGATGGTGCGGTATCATCTGGATTCAATTCCATCATTTTAAGCAATTGCTTAGCTCTCAACCAAGTATAATAACTAGCATCAAGGAATCTTTCCTCATTTACTGCACAATCTGCTAGATTTTTTAACAAGATGTGAGCTTCTTTAGGTTTTCCAGCCATTACGTAAGCCTCATGAGCTTCTATAAATTGATCGGAATCAGCAAGCCACTGGGCATGTTGCAAATGAACTGTCGGTAAAACTTGGGTTAAATGCTCAGCTAGTCTAAATGCTTCATTCCAGTCTCTAGCTTCAACATGAAGCTGAACAACTTGAGCTTCTTCTCCCAATTTTCTATAAATTTCTGCTGCCAATGGCAATGCTTTTAACCTTTTCAAATGAGTTGCAATTAATTCCAATGAAGACTTTTCACTTGCTTGCAATTTTCTTCCAATATCCAAGAGTAAGTCAGTCCATCCTTGTTCTGCAACTATTTCAATAGCTCTTTCTACTTCACCTGCACTCAGAAGTAGCTCAGCAGCAGCTCGAGGCTCATGAACTGAACATGCCCATTCAGCCTTTCTCTTCACCAATTCCTTTTTATCATCACTGTTGTCATCTTCTTTGATAAACTGTTGAGCGAGATCAAACATTTTTAAGTCACTGTACATCGCAATAGCTTTATTGCTATGTCCACACTTTTGAAAAAGTCGAGCTGCTTCTTTGAACTTTGCACCAAAAGCTAGAATGTCTGCTTGAATCAGTTCCTTAGGAACGTCTCCATGCTTTTGTCTCACTTTGATTTCATTTATAAACTCCAGCCAAGGCAAATTTCTCGTTTTTACAAAAGCATCTTGTGCAACTTTAAAATTATGAACATCTAAAGCAGCTTGTGCTAGTGCTTCCCAATCATTTGTTGTGACACCAAGACATGCTACTTGATACGCTTCTTCAAATAAATTAGCTTCAACAAATTGCCAAAGTGTTGCACTTAAAGCTAGTGCTACATTAGTCATGATATTCCCTCTTAAACAAAATGCTGTTGCTCCGCAAAGACCAACAACAACTCCAATCATATTCTGAGGGTTTTTAGCAGGTAAAGTTCCAACTCGAATGCTCAAACCACCATTTGTGTGGGAATAACACAGCATAGACTCTAAGTTTGTATTCCAAGCGACTGAATTTACTCCTGAATCTTGATACAGTAATGTATCTGTAGTTAAATCTCTTACAACCATTCTTCCGGCATCATCGACAACTGCAAGTTTTGTTCTTGATGCGTTTAAATCCAAACATCGAACTGATGATAAAACTGTTGTTACCAATATCGGCAATGAATTATCAAGAAATATTCTCCAAACTTGACCACTTTTAAGACCAATTATAAGACCTTCTCGGCCAGGTGGACCACCTGTTACTTTGATGTATCTTATGAATGAATCCATGATCCATTCTCTCTGCAATTCTCCATTAAAATCTAAACTTTGAAGACGTTTCTCTTGACACAATACTAGATTCTGTGCACACACGACCAACAAGCTACAATTAAATTTTTTTGAGATTTTTTCCTTAACTCTGTAGTGCATTGGTTGGTTATCTGCTGAGCTTAGTTCATAAAGAACAACGCGTTCAGGTAATTGAACTGCTAGCTTATGTCTATAGATTGCTATTTTATGAACTAAATCACGACACTTAATTCGAACTTTTTGTCCTGATACTAAGTGCTGAATGATAACATCACACATGTTCTCACGATACGCATATCTTTCTCTATATAAGGCATGAACAGTACTAAATGCTATATTGTAGTAAGCAAGTGATCCATCTTGACATCCGACAGCTATAGCTGTACCATGAGGATGTGGTGAAGCACTCCATATCCATGATTCATGTGGCTCACCTAAGGTTCCAACACGTATACCATCACGTGTAAATAATTGAAGCTGCTTATTACATCCACTAACAACGAGAGATTCTCCATCAATAAAAAATTTTAAGCATAAAGGGTCAAATCCTAATGGTCTTTCTTTTCCAATCATTTGTCCACCAATTGTATAGAATGATAGCATTTGATTCCAATCAGCAACAGCTAAAACATCAGGAGGACCTTGAGCATTTGCATTCGGTGGTGCCCATTGAATTCCATAGATTGGTGCTTTGCCTCTATCAATTTTTACTTTTTCATCTCCAAGTTTATTACGAATGCTAATGATTCCATTTGCTAATCCTAATGCAATATATTGTCCGTCAATAGTCCATGAACAGCAATTAACTTTTGCTTGGATTTTATATTTTTGAACATTCTTTTGTTCTGATGACCAGAATGCATAGTCGCTTATAGAGCAACTAGCAAGCTGATGTGTTACCGGATTAAATTCAAGGCACTGAATTCCCTCATTGTGTGAGTATTTCAGAACTCCTTCAAGTTTTTGAGTCCAAATAATGACAGTCTTATCAGCAGATCCACTTGCAAACCGTTTACCATCCTTACTGTAAGCTAGACAGTAAACTGTATCTTTATGTCCTATAAGAATTTTAATTTTTAATGAACGATTTTAAATTTATTGATTTTTTTTTCTTACCTTTTAAAGTATCAATTAAGTTCCCATCTGAAGCATCATAGACCAACACTTTATCACCTGCTCCAACAATTAATTGCAATGCTTCTGGATGGAAGCAGGTTGCATGAATGCTACAATTACAATGCACAATAAAATTAGTTGAAATTTGTCGATGAAAATATTTTAAACTTTACCTAGCAATGTCACTTCTATCACTTTGTTCATGAATTTTTTCAACCCACTTGGGTACTGCACGCATCGTTTGATGATTTAGTTGTGGTTTTTGAGTGATTTAAGGCACTGAATTTGAAAAAAAGAATTGCGACAATCTATTTTGTTTGTTTGGTTTTTATGTATGTCGATAACGCAGTTCAGTGCCGAAATATGAAAGGCAGAAAAGTTTAATTTTATCAGAATGTCTCATAGTCTTGTATAGTTTTCTGATTTTAAAAACGATTGAAATCTGAATGTTTTGAGGAAAAAAAATCCTTAATAAATGTTTTCTTAAAAGCGTTTCTGATTCAATTTACTTATTAATATTTCTAACTTTCCGGTTTTATTGAATTTTGTTTACTAAAGGGGGATGCAAATACACCCAACATCATAACATTTCCAACTTGTGCCAATCAGCTGATTATAAGTTTTTGTTTTCAAAATAAATCGCAGTAACAATGTCAAATTAGTGAAAATTTCAAAGAAAAATGTTGAAAATAATTTTAAGAACTCATAATAGATCCTTTCAAAGACTAATAGGAATAACTAGGAAGTATTCATCATATGAAGACTTAAACGATGATATTAACAACTATATAAATGTCAAAACTGAAAATATTAGGAATTTTTCAATAATCGCACATGTTGATCATGGAAAAAGTACATTATCAGATCGATTAATGGAAGTAACTGGCGCTTTAAAGAAAGGAAGTGGGAAGACACAAGTTTTGGATACGCTGGAAGTTGAACAGGAAAGAGGAATTACTGTGAAAGCTAATTGTGTATCATTAATTCATAAATATGAAAATGAAGTTTATCTTTTAAATTTGATTGACACACCAGGTCATGTAGATTTTGGTAATGAAGTTGCTAGAAGCTTATCAGCATCAAGAGGTGCATTGTTACTTGTCGATGCAAATCATGGAATTCAGGCACAAACTCTTGCCAATTATCATCTTGCAACATCAAAAAATCTCAAAATTATACCAGTCATAAATAAAATTGATTTAAAAAATGCACATCCAGAAAGAGTTACAGAGGATCTTCTAATGATGTTAAATATTGATCCAGATGATGTTTTAAAGATTTCCGCAAAATTAGGAATTGGAATTGATAAAGTCCTTCAACATATCTGCAAGAAAATTCCTCCTCCAATATCATCAAAGGATTTGCCGTTTCGAGCTCATTTATTTGACAGCTGGTACGATAAATATCGAGGAGCACTTAACTTAATGTTCATTAAAGATGGAGAAATCACTGTTGACCAAGAAATTGTGTCATGTGAGAATGGAAAGGGATATGTTGTAAGGTCACTTTCTATTCTAACACCAGAAGAGAGGAAGGTTGACCGACTTGTTGCAGGACAGATTGGTTTGATTGGATGTAACATGAGAAATAGCCAGGAAGCAATTATTGGAGACACTTATTATTTAAAAGGAACTCCAGTTCAACCACTTGAAGTGTTCAAAAAACTTAAACCAATGGTATTTGCGGGAATTTATCCACAAGATCAGTCACAACACTTGGCATTAAAAAGTGCAATTGAAAAATTAGTTTTGAATGACTCATGCGTCACAATTCAGCCTGATACATCACCTGCACTTGGACATGGATTTCGACTTGGGTTTTTAGGACTCTTACATTTAGAAGTTTTTGTCCAGAGACTTGAACAAGAGCATCAATCATCTCCCATTATTACCGCTCCAAATGTTACATACAAAATGAAAATTCAAGATATTAAAGGAGTCTTGAAACATTATAATGGAAAGAATCAGATTGAAATTTCAAATCCAAAACATTTTCCAGATCCACAGCATGTTGAAGAGTATTTTGAACCAACAGTAATGGCAACTTTAATAACCCCTGCTAAATTTGTTGGTGCCATTATTGGACTTTGTGTAGAGAAACGAGGAGTTCAGATAAAATCAATCAATTTGGATCACGATAGAATATTGTTAAAGTATATCCTGCCATTAAATGAAGTCATCATCGACTTTCATGATCAAGTTAAAAGCTTATCAAGTGGATTTGCATCATTTGACTTTGAAGAACATGAATACGTCAGTACACATTTAATAAAATTGGAAATTCTTCTCAATGGATCTCCTGTTGAGGAATTATCAAATATCTGTCATGTTAGAAGTTCCGATCAAATTGCTAGAAATTTAGTTGCAAAATTAAAGGAATTGATTCCTCGTCAAATGGTTGAAATCCGAATACAAGCGTGCATTGGAAGTAAAGTCATTGCAAGAGAAACACTAAAAGCTTTCAGAAAGGATGTCACTCAATGGCTTTATGGTGGAGATGTGACAAGAAGGAAAAAACTCTTGAAACAGCAAGCAGAAGGCAAGAAGAAAATGAGACAAATTGCAAATATTCAAGTTCCTCGAGATACATTCATTAAAGTTTTGAAGAGGTAGCGGAAGTGTTAATTAAATTTTATTTAAACTTTTGTAGAATAAAAAATTGATTTTAATAAAATATTACATAATCTGTTCATCCATTAATTTTTTGATGGCAAAACTGCGTATGTCGCATTAACCATCAAAATTTCTTCATTATCACTATCAGCAATACGAATAATTAGCCTATATTCACCTGGTGGAAAAATTGCGATCATTCTATTCATTGGAACTTTTACATCTTCATGAACAAGGTCAAAATAAGGGCATGGATGCATCATTGACTTATCATCACCTTTCATGAAATCCATTGCAATCCAGAACAAACGATTTGCAACTGTATTTGCATTTATGAACCGACACCAGTCAACTCTTGGTGAATGTAGAATTTCTCGATATGTCGTCTCGTATTTATACTTCAAAATGGCCTTAATCTGTGGATTACATTCAATAATATCATACATTTTCTAATAATTGCTCACAATTACTCACGTTTAAGCTATTCAAACCTCGTTTTGACCAAGCTTTAAAGCTCAACATTGTAGAATTATCACGGCCTGGTTTAGTATAACACGAAGAATTTTCATAGAGTTTCTCATTATTTAAAGCACAACGAAAGTCTTTCAAATGAATTGTTTGATATTCATTACGAAATACTACGAATGCTGCAAGTAGTAAAAATAGAAAATTCATTGCAATATTTTCAGACAACTTGATATTGAACTATTTCCATTAAACAAAAATAAAGAAGTGATTGCTTTTGTCAAATGTTTGGACATTTTATTTTTAATTGCTATATTTTGGTACTCATTTTTGGTAGCTGATTATCTTTAAATAATTATCAAATATTATATTTTTCGGAAATTTTAAAAGTAGAAAAGGTAAAACAGGTTTTGCTTAGATTTACGAAATATAGAGGTCACTAGTTGCTTCTTAAATAACTTTGATTATCGCCGATACCATGATGAACATAATTAGTGTATAAAAATGCTAATTTCAAAAGTTGGTTACTAAGGTTTTTCTTTAAATCCACAGAACTGTCTCAATTACATTTCAATTGTACTTTTATTTTCCACTTTCATAATATCAAATTTATATCCAGAAACCATAAAAATTTGAGAGCATCTTCATTTTCATAAAAAGACTAACTTCACAATTATTTTCATGTCCTTCGTGCTTTTTATTTTATTATGAAAACTTTGTCATTCTTCACAATTTCAAACAAAAATTATGGAAAAATAAAGAATGATTTTTCATAGCCCTAATCGTCAGCGATCCGATGAATTTTAATTTGATACTTTTCATGACATTTTTTTAAGTAAAAAATTAGTTGGATAGATTTCACTTTGTCTATTGAGGAAACTGACTTTGACAAGTCAAAAAGGCAAAAGTGGCTTGATAGCTTAGTTGGTACAGGTCACAAAAGTTGGTGTTGAATTTGGACTCAACCGGTTTTAAATCCCACCACCAGCCTAGTTATTTTTCAGATAAACTTAGTTGCAAACATGAAAAAAATAAAACGCCTAATTTCTTACGTAAACCAACTGACATCCTTACTTAATAGCATTCTTTCACATAAAATAATATTCCATGGCTCATGAATATGAAAAAATTCAACGAGTGAACTGCAGAAAAAGAGCAAGTGAGTGAAAAAATTCATTCCTGATGCCACTTCTAAAATGTAAAGAGATTTCCACACCCCCACCACCAGTTCTTCCTTCTATCATATTAAAAAAATTTACTTCCTAATGAAGTTAAAGCAATAAACGAGAAGGCAAAAGAAAATGTGAAGATGAGGAAGGAAAATAATCAACAGCGATGAATATGTTTCAATTTCGGGGAGAGAGAGATTATTTCATTAATTGTGAAAACATGTCTCGGTTGATGTCGTCGCACCCTCCAATACAGTAGGCATTGAATCCTTTTCCGCATTGATAATCATCGCATAAAGTAAAAATTGTTTACACAAAAACATCCATCAACAATTATTTTTTCCATTTCCATTTTTCCCTTTTTGGAAATTTTTTTTTCTCTCTCATCACTTTGATCTTTGATGTGTGTTTGTATATATGTCTGTATTTGTGCTTTGTTATTATGTACTTACTACATTCAACTTTATATTTTTGTTTCATTTCATATGTACATTTAATGTGATGAATAATTTTTTTGATGTGTTTGCATATTATCATAATTTTTATGAATCTTTCATTTTTCTTTCATATTTGCTCATCTTTTATTTGAGTTTTCCATGGGCTTTTATATGGCCTTTGTTGATTCACATCCATTTTCCAATCATTTTATGAAAATAAAAGTTTTTGAAAAGTTTTAATTAAAAAAATTTTGATTTGTAAAGTAAATTTGCAATATTGATGATTAAATGTGGTTTGTACTTTGAGTTGGCGAGGGCAGTTCATCGTTAAGTTTGACATCATACTCATGCCTTTTATATCAATATCAGGATGACAATTTTTCGAAGTAACGTTACAATTTAGTAGAATATAATCAACCTGCATCAACATAACAAATATCTCTAACCATAATATCAGTAATATTCTTTGTATTTAAAACTAACCTAAGAAATAGCTCAATGCCAAACCACGTATGACACCAATAAAAATTCCATAAATATGTTTTGCTTCCTATTTTTGTGCAATTTTTCTATCAAAATTTCCCCCCATCGTATTTATTCATGTCCCTTATCCCTCAATTTATTTTTCATCACAAAAATTTTCCTCTCTTTCCTTTTTTCACTTCCTCTTTTTCCTCCCTCTTATTTCTGTTTTCTTTACCTTATTATCATGTTTTATTGTTCAATTGAATGTTCATAATCATTGACAATATTGTTATGAGAATTAAACATTAGAAGTAGAACTGAATGATGCAAAAAAGGAAAAGAATGAGAAGAACAATGAAAACATAATTATGAGATGAAGGAAGAAGAACAAAAAGAGGAAAAGATTAAAAGGATGAATGATTTTTTTTGTTCTTTATTATCGAACAATAGAGCAAATGAGTAGGAAGAAAAAAATATTTTTTGAGTCGTGATTTGAATTATTTTTATTAGTGATGTATGAGAGCTGGCTTACATTTTAGATTGTTGTTAAATAATGCTGAAAATTTGAACTCTCATTTACTAACCTTAATACTTTTACACAAGACAAAGAATTAGCTGTCAGAGAAAAGGAGTGGATGTCCAATTGTGTTACATAAATCACGAGTTTTAATTCCTAATTTATTTAATGTCTTAGTTTCCTCCAAAAAGCCTTTTAAAGTAAATTGGCAAGAATATTAAATTCTCTTCGATATTCATTCAATTTCTTTTTTCTTTTATACATAAATCTAATTAATTTTGCTTTCCCTTTATTTCCTTTCTTAACATCAATTTGTTGATTTTTTTATAAATTAAATTTCATGCAATCGACATTTCCAATCGTGGCACTTTTTATTCTTTTTTTTATCGTTAACAGAAATTTTCTTTCATTTGATTAAAATCTTTCTTTTTCTTTATCACGCTGAGAATTGAGAAATTAATAAAAATAATGATGAAAAAATGAATAAAAAAAATATTCACGGCAAGAAACAGAAGAAAAGAAAGGAAATGAAGGTAACAAAGTTATTTATGCAAAAAACAGGAAATTGATTTTTTTCTTTTCAGTTAATTCATATTTTTGTGAGTAATAAATAGAAGCAGAAACATACTTTGAATTTCAAGGAAAAGGATTTCCAAACAAGATTTGCAACTCTAAAAGTTTTCAGCATAAATTATTATTTTCCATCGTTATTCACACTTTACAACAACTCCCATCCTCTTTGCACTGTCTCATTTTCAATTATCTCAACCACTCATCCACGACCATGCTCATCATCCAATTCATTAAATATTCATTCGATTCCAACATCATCATTACCGGTAATCGATCAGGCCTCGATTATTGACATAAAAACTTTTGCAAAACTATTCCGGTCTCATTTTCAATGATAATTTCCTACTTGATTATAAAGTGGTGCTTGAAATGTTGCAATTTTCATGCCTAAATGATGCTTCTCATACCATTTCATTTTGAATTGATGAAGACACTGAGGAACGGTTGAGATGGAAAGTGTGAAATGATGAGCATTTAATGATCCGTTCAATCATCCACTTGACACCTATAATATTAACAAGTTTGTCTGTATGTATACACTGCCAGGATTTACAGATATTTACATTTTTATAAAGAAAATCAAGAAAATTGAAAACTGTAAATTTTAAGAAAAGAAAAATAAAAGGTTTCTTAATTTGTTACTAGAATTATGACTTTAAATATTTAACGAATTTTGATTTCTTAAATACAAAAAAAGGAATATATGTAAATCCAATTGAATCATAATGTAATGACAAGGAAATAAGAAAAATTGTAATTTCCTGTCGAAAATTGAAAACAATTTAATTTAATTTTTCTCATTTTTGCTCAAACATTCGTAAGGGATTCAAAAATTTGATTTAAGTCTACAAAATATGTAAAATCATGCTCACTTTTTATAAAAAATAAATTCAGTCACAAACTTAATCGCAGCTGGGAGGATTTGAACCTAAGCTCCAAAAGTGAATTTGATTTCAAGTCAGACGCCTTAATCACTCGGAAATTCTTTTAAAGTCACGAAAAGTTCGTTCCATGAAAAGCGTAGGTCTGAATCCTACCAGCTACGAATAATTTAGGTGGACATTTTTTGCAAAATTTATTAAAACCTCTGTTTTTGAATGTTTTTGTTTTATCAAAAATTTGAGTATTGAAACAAAATCTGGGAATTGAAAAATCATACAAGAAAATGAAATGAGCATCGGTTGCTAAAAACACACAGTCAGCGGACCATGATTGATTGCCTTAAATCGATTATCGTTTTTCCTGCTTCGTTTTTCATCCCTTTTGTGCCTGTTGTCATCGTTGTTTTCTTCTTCTATCCTGTATTTTTCAAATAGCACTCAAGAAAAATTGAATCATTGATGATTTTCAATTATCGACTGTCGAATTTGATTGACGAGATTTTTTTCAATTCTTTTTCCATATTTTGTTAAGTTTTTTTATTTGATTTTAAAAGGTTTTTAAAAATTTTGCATCGAATTTTGACTATTTTAATGTAAATGAAATTTCCAAATCTTAATGCTAAATACTATTATCTACCCACAATAAACGATTATTTTCTTATTCCTTTCATAATAACGAAAATTGCTTTTATTAACACTAACTTTATATTTAATATGTCATCAGCACTAATGCAACATATAATTATGACATGATTATCATTTAATCCCTTATTCTTTCTTACAATTATAAGATAAAAGCGAAAAAATACAGGGGTGGATGAGATTGGGGTTCAAGTTAGAGTTTTATTGTAGTTCACAATTTTTTACACCCCATCGCTCACCAATCCGGTATACAATGTGCAGTATTAATCCTCCTCATAATATGTAATCGGAAAATGTAAGAAAAAAGGACGAAATGAGGGCAACAGTATAAGAAGTTGTAAGAAGATTATTATTCCAGCAACAAAATCCCTTCAAGGTGATGTTTAATGTCACATTCTGAATGTTTAATCAGCTGTAATGTGACAATTGACAAATCATTAGATAATAATGAAAATGGACACATTTTTGCTAATGGCATTGATGAAATAAATTATGTGATATGGTTAGGTTTGTGATTAAAACAGCT